CATCCAGAGCGACTGGACCCAGTCAAAAGCTATTACAGCATCTTCTTTATTAGTGCCTATGGTTTTGGTGTAGAAATCCTCAGATAAATACAGCTAAAATGCCACTTCACTCAGAAATATTGGCCCATTCCTCTGCTGCCTGACTGGGCCCGAATGGCAGCCTGTTTCAGACATTATAAACCTTTCTGAAGTCACACAGCGCTCCTGCCAGCCATCTGTCATGCTGTAAGTACCATCATTTGCAGACCAATAGAAGTGATCAGTAGTTTTCCCCCCAGGCTCCAAGCAAGGCATCATAGTCAAAGGAATTGATTATCACTTTATCATTTAAGTATAGCTTGCTTTGAAGAATAATAACTCACGTTTAAGGTGCCAAATGGCTTTGCATATAGCTCAAAACGCCAGCCATTTAAGAATAATTGTGTAATTCGTCATTTGTGACGTTGCTTTATAGTTTTTTGCATCTCGGTGAGGCTAAAGAGCTCGACCGAATAGAAGCGTGCTGTCACCTGTGACGTTTGAAAATCTCTCCGGCGATGCTTTAATACGTTACCGGGGGATGCGCGCGCGTTCAGACTTCATAAGGTGACAGCGGTTTTATCGTGCGTCGCCTCGTAAAGTCACGTCATCTGTAGGACGAGCCCGACACTTTTATTAAACTGCTATTCACCGCGTGCGCACCGAGAGATGTGCAAAGATAAATCCTCATGAATAACTGAACTGTCTGTTTGAGGATCGGCGTGTCATACTAAAGTCAGAACGTGATCCAAGCAGCACATAGGCCTAAACAAGGAGGAGGTAAAATGATTGCTTTCAGGATATATATGTGATTTAATACATCAATGTAAATCAATACATTGGCTATACATATTATCTAGATAGATAGATAGATTATTAGATATAATTATTATTAAGGGAAAACAAAATCCAAAACTACATGGCCCTGCACACAGGGCCATGTAGTTTTGGATTTTGTTTTCCCTTAATAATAAAAACCTTCATTTAAAAACTGCATGTTGTGTTATCTTTGACTAATATTTAAATTTGTTTGATGATCTGAAACATTAAAGTGTGACAAACATGCAAAAAAAATAAGAAATCAGGAAGGGGGCCAACACTTTTTCACACCACTGTATATAGGCCTATCTATATAAAGCTGAAGCCTATACATAATGAAACTCAATATATAGCCTACTGTAATATCCTATTTCAGTCTGCTTTCCTAAATAAAGTTTACTCTGCCGTTTGCTTTCGTATGCGGGCATTCCTTTTATTCACATTAGGCCCTATACTTATTGATCTGATTTTGGCGCATATTCCAATCAGCCAGATTGGACCAGATTTTTAGAAAATGAGATCTGGCATTCGACTAAATGAGAATTTCCTGTACAGAGACATTCGCTGGTTCACGCAGGAAATTAATGATAAAAAAACGCCCATCTTTGTGTGTGGCGCGCGTATCGCCGCTAATCTGCGCCTTTGTGCAAATGTAACCAGGGCTGCTCTTTGGCAATCGAGCGCAACGCCACGGCTTTGAGAAAAACCACTTGTTCTGTCGCATAATTAGAGATCTCATACCCGCTTTGTGATGGGGGAGAGAGAGGATGGAGGGGGCCTTGTTTGCCCATTTAAAGTGTGATTCAGATAATAGTGTTCTCATCAAAGGTAGCAATTACATTCATTACACAGGCGGCCGCGAGGAAATTAAGTGGCAGGAAAATGAAAAGCTTAATATGTACTTCCTTTATCCTATTTCTTTTCCTTTCTCTGCTTCTACACACTCCCCGTGTCGCACTGGGGTGGGGTGGGGGGTTCTAAGATAGGGTCTCTCCAGAAATAAATAGTCTTGGGGGCGTGAAGAATAAATCCAGCCGTGGTCCTCCTTCACCCTTTAGCAGTAGTGATTTGGCATTGGGGCAGCCGTTTCTATAGCTGCGCTCCTCAGGCAGGATTAAAAGCCTTTCTTCGGGGACTACTGTCCATGGCAGCCTTTAAATGACTCCAGCATATGATTGGAGTCTTAAAAAAGTGCTCAGGGGCCTTCTCCAAATTAATACCCAATTCCTTTTCAGGAGAAAATGAATTGTTTCGAGTTCTATAAAACCACAAACAGCACATAAATCAAGCACTTTGGAGGAGAGAAGGGGGCCCGCTCGTTCAAAGGCTTTTAAATGTGAATTAGGGCAGCGGGGGAACTTGGTCTGACTTACCCCCGAGCAGGTGTAGACGGAGCAGCTTCAGACACTCTGCAGATGCTAAATTAAAATGGAGATTGAGAAGGGAGGAAGCTGTAAGCCGGACAAACAAAATGAACCGAATTACTTCATGTCATGACGTCTGTGCAGAGTTTGAACGCATATCAAGCTGTGATCAAATATAGCCTATGGATACTGTAATTGTACGTGAAGAAAGAAAGAAAGAAAGAAAGAAAGAAAGAAAGAAAGAAAGAAAGAAAGAAAGAAAGAAAGAAAGAAAGAAAGAAAGAAAGAAAGAAAGAAAGAAAGAAAGAAAGAAAGAAAGAAAGAAAGAAAGAAAGAAAGAAAGAAAGAAAGAAAGAAAGAAAGAAAGAAAGAAAGAAAGAAAGAAAGAAAGAAAGAAAGAAAGAAAGAAAGAAAGAAAGAAAGAAAGAAAGAAAGAAAGAAAGAAAGAAAGAAAGAAAGAAAGAAAGAAAGAAAGAAAGAAAGAAAGAAAGAAAGAAAGAAAATTACGGATGTCAGGCATTTATAATTATATTGCAGCCTCTTTGGACGGACAGACAGACAGATAGATAGATAGATAGATAGATAGATAGATAGATAGATAGATAGATAGCAATATTGGCATTTGTAGTCGTATAATAACCTTACTGGATATTTATATTTTACAATCCTGTTTATTTCGCTCTTATTTTGATTTTGACCAAACACATGATACATGCTATCTGTTATCTATGCAACTATTTTTCGTATGTACTGTTGCACCCCAGCTTTGAAAACAATAACGCTTCATGAAAAGAAGCCCACTTGAAACCCCAATGAATCTTTTTCAAATGACAAATTACTGTCACCCTGCTTTAATTATTTAAGGGGAAGTGGCTTCACAGGAAACCTGAGCATAATTAAATTGCTATAAAATAACATTAGTGTGGACAGGCCATTAAGAAGTGTTGTAATTGACTGCTTCAGGGATCGTAGTTCAACCCCACAAGGTCGGGCTATTGTGCCTGCTTTTGGATCAGTTTACACAGCTTTTCACTGGAAAACCCACAGACTGTAAATACTGCACGTGATAGTAATTGTTTGACTTCATTTATAATTCTCATTCAATAATGCTAATATAACAGGGCACTTTTAATTAATGGGATGCATCCTCACAAAGAGTTCTCTGCTCATTCATATGCAACAAACAAAATACTGACATTGAATACTCTTACTATGTTTTGTGAATAATGCAACGCAAAAGAGTTAAAGTCAATTTTGATATTCAAAAATGTTAAGGTTTGGCCATACAGGCCTATCTTATTTCGCTACATGGTCATCACAACTTGACATCCTGCGCCATCTAGTGTCCTAACTGTGAAATGACGCTATTAATGGCAGAGTGCAGGATAAGAAACGCACATCAATGATATATGTTTGGTAAGAAGAATTGTCTGTTTGAGATCACAACACAAATGCAGTATAATTTATGAGTCTGGAATCATTCAGCGGATTTCAAGAGAACTCCAAAATGAAATTTTAGGCCTGGTGTGGAATAATACATAAACATTAACAGTATGTTAGATACTGTAATAGCTTGGTAAAATCTGATATTTCTTGCTGTAACCCAAAACAAGGTTTTGGGTTACAAAAACCATGTAGTTTTATTGTAGGGGTAGATGTCCAACTCTGCAATGAGGCTACGAGTAGACTGTTTGTTAACATTTTAACCCACGACGGGAGCCTGGCAGGTTCTGTGGTCATCTGAACCATGATTACAGGCAATGAATTGCTGAGTATTACACTAGAACCCTCTCATTACAACTCTGAAGAGTGTCATAAGGATCCAAAGCTCTCGCTCTAACTGGTCATTTGTCACACCCTCTTCAATGGTTTTCCTACAACCCTGACACAAATGGGGCAATGCGATCTTCAGCTAACTTCCCCTCTAGTTAAATATTAAACGCTATGAAACATAAATGAGCCAATCCTGCTATTTAAAGTAATGCAACTGGCTCAAGTACTCATTAAATTGCTCATGACATTTGAATATGGAAATTATTCATGTATTTAGCTAATCTGGTAAAAGCTGATGAATCATCAATGCACTTGATGCAGAATACTAAACGGTTTTAAAAATAATTGGATCATTGCTGTTATGCAGTACCTTTTGGATATGAATGTCAATTAATATGACCAAGCATTTAAAAGACTTTCATAAATATATTTTAATTCTAACTAAATTATTTATGCAATGGCAAGAAAATCAACAGGATGGAATTACAGAGCTAGTCATTGCTAAGTAGGGACTGAGAGTGAGAGTAGGCCTATAAAGTTACATTTTGAATTTTTATATCACATTGATTTCCGTAATTTTATCAAACGTTACAGAATTGCGACACAAACAAATTAAAAACACGAAACATCAAGTTAAACTCCACTGTAAGTAAGCCTTCATGATATTGTTTTCCCTCTCAATTATGTCCTTTCCTGAGGAATTGTAATTTGTATCATTAGAAACATGGCTTTTGTTATTTAAAATAAAGGAATATTACAAAAGACTAACAGAATGGAAAGTGATATGTGTAGAGCATTTTAAAATAACTGCCAATTAGAACAATATAAAAAAAAAACACGTAATTTGATTTGACATATAACACATTGCAAAAAGACAGCATCTGAAGTCACACATCAAAATATGGAAATTATGCATAGTTTACTTTTATATTCGCTTATATTGGTGGTACTGTGATACTGTGTCTTTAAAAGTCTGGCTTGCTCTGCAGATCCACTCACAGTGACACTAAATGTTCAACCATCGCAACGAAGTCGGAATCGTTTCAGCGGCGCACTGCCTGGTTGAACTTTCACCCCTGCGTTTTCTTTTGTTTTGATGTAGCAGAGCATTATTGTTACCCACCAAAATTCGGTGTTTACTCTCTGTTTGCCATTGACACAGTCCTAAATGACACACGGAGTATGTTTCAAATACGTCGATCCAACTGTCGGTCAAATGTAAAGCTCGTTTAATATCTGTTTTTAACTGAATCAGTCGTGCTAACTCGCCGACGTTAGCTGCCCAGCGTCACCATGGAGCTTTTTTCTGCCAGATTTTTCTAATATCTCGTTAAAGAACGGGTCGTCAGTCTGAACATCCGAACAACCAAGTGTGGTTTTAACTTCTCTGACGCCCTTGAAAAGGTAACTGTTGTTAATTGTTGTTTTAGTGATAGCGTAATGGTTGGGAATGCTTAGTAACGTCAACGTTATTTCGCTATCTTAGCAACGCCTGTTACGTTACCTTGTCAACTGGATAACAGCCAGACTAATACAACTGATTAGTCTTACAACCGTCACAAGTTCCAATATAACTTAAAAGCTTAAGATGTTGTTTACTGCACCCGTTGGCCTGTGGATGCATGTTATTGTAGACGAATCGACAGGATTCACACTTTAAGGATTGCTTGTAAAGTTTTATTTTGTTGCTACTTGATACTACAAGGATTTTATTATTTACGTATCTTGCCATTCAGTTGCATCTATATGATATTCTGGTTGAATTTTATTTACAGCCTGTTTGGTCCCGTTTAAGACCGCAGAAGACGACGGTGTAGATCTTTCAATGGGCGAGGAGAAGACAGAACCTCTGGATTTTGTGAAGGACTTTCAGGAGTACTTGAGTCAGCAGACCCAACATGTCAACATGATATCTGGCTCTGTCATCGGAGCGAAAGACAGTGATGATCTCCAAGGAGGTATTATTTAGAGAGCCTTCCTGTGTGTTGTTTTTGACTGGTCAAAATGGAAAAAAAAATCTATCTGCATATCTTCATTTATGCTTTAGTAGTAATTCCAGTTTTTATAAATATCTGCAGTCTTTATAAGTATCTGCGTGTCTTATCCCCCCTCCCCGTTTATTTTATGAGATTTGTAATTGTTTCCTTTTTTTTTTTATAAATTTAAAATATAATTAAAATGAAATCGCTACTTGATACTACAAGGATTTTATTATTTACGTATCTTGCCATTCAGTTGCATCTATATGATATTCTGGTTGAATTTTATTTACAGCCTGTTTGGTCCCGTTTAAGACCGCAGAAGACGACGGTGTAGATCTTTCAATGGGCGAGGAGAAGACAGAACCTCTGGATTTTGTGAAGGACTTTCAGGAGTACTTGAGTCAGCAGACCCAACATGTCAACATGATATCTGGCTCTGTCATCGGAGCGAAAGACAGTGATGATCTCCAAGGAGGTATTATTTAGAGAGCCTTCCTGTGTGTTGTTTTTGACTGGTCAAAATGGAAAAAAAAATCTATCTGCATATCTTCATTTATGCTTTAGTAGTAATTCCAGTTTTTATAAATATCTGCAGTCTTTATAAGTATCTGCGTGTCTTATCCCCCCTCCCCGTTTATTTTATGAGATTTGTAATTGTTTCCTTTTTTTTTTAATAAATTTAAAATATAATTAAAATGAAATCAAATGAAAACTGTGCCAGAATGAGTAATAGAGTTGTAGATTCTAAAATCCTAAATTAAGCCAACAGTCAGTAGTTGCTGGGTAATTTGAGACCAAATGTTGTAGTTATTGATAATTATTGATTGTATAAATTATTAAATATATATGTGTTGTTTATTGATTATATATAATATCCCAAAATATTTTGTTATTTAAATTATTAAATATTTGCTTTTATTTATTATATTTATTATTATAATATTATATTTATTATATATTTATTATTTATGTTTTCTAAATATGCTGTGGGGTCCTTATGTTGTTATTTTGTTTTGGGTAATTAATTAAAGCGAGTTAATAATAATGATTAAAAAAATATAAATATAAAAATAGTTTTTCTAAATATCAGTTTAACAGATTTATCAGATTTGTCAAAATTATAACATTGCATGATTTGAGTTGAGAATTTGAGGATTGTATGTTAGATAATAGTTTTTATTAGATCATAGCATTTCATTTTTTCGTTGTAAAATAGTTTATTAAACATATTTATTAGTTTTCACAACATGGATTTGTGCCTCTAATGTTTAAAAAAAGTGTACAGTATAAATCAGTGGTCGCCAACCCGTCGATCGCGATCGACTGATAGATCTTTATCACTGTCCCAGTAGATCCCGAAAATAACAGTAAAAATAAGTACAAAAATGCATTACATTTCTGGGGTTATATTAATGTATCACTGAAGGGAACTGTCTTGAGAAAAGTTTCGATGGCAATGGCATTTTCTTCTCCTCCGTATAAAGCGCGGCTCTGCTTTGTTTACAGCGGTAACCAAGGAAACGCTATTGCGGTCAGTTCATAAGCAGTGTTGCCAAATCTGCGGTTTTCCTGCGGAATTGAGAAGGGTATAACTGCAGACTGGAGATCTCCAAATGGGGGCGGGAACTCCAAAACGGGGTGGGAGCTCCAAAATAGGGCGTGGCTTCCTCCCCCGCCGAAAAACGTGTATTTTCCTCCCAGAATGGATTTTTACAGGGGAACCCCCTCGAAACGTGATTGGACTAGTTTTATTGCGAAAACCTGGCAACCCTGTTCTTAAGCGCCACCTCCTGTCAGAGAGTGCGTCTCATTCAGACCTGCCGTTTTTGTTTCGTGCAGATGTTTTATGTAGCAAATAAATAAATAACACCTAAAGTCAGACCATTCCGTTTTTGTTTGACATAAAGGCCGAGGTCAGGGATCTTGGGCCTAAAAAGGTTGGTGACCACTGGTATAAATGAATGGTGCCTGCTGATTCAAGTGTGCTGAATGCAAAACTGCTTCATTTCTAGTAGAACAACATAATATCTTGAGGTGTCCCATATCTTAATATTAGTTATTTTCTGTTTATTTATTTATTCATACTTTACAGAACTTGGTCAGAATGGCCTGGAGCACCCAGCAGTGGACATGTCCTTAGACGATAGTTCAGGGATGTTGGTGGATGGCTTTGAGAGAACATATGATGGTAAACTCAAGTGCCGCTATTGCAACTATGCCACCAGAGGCACTGCACGGCTGATCGAGCACATTCGCATCCACACAGGTAAGACTGAAAACTGATCTTAAATCTTATTTATACTCTTTGTTCTTTTCTTCAGGTTACCAAGTTCATAAGATGTTCTCAATCTCCTTCTCCAGGTGAAAAACCCCATAGATGCCACTTGTGTCCTTTTGCCTCAGCGTACGAACGCCACCTGGAGGCACACATGCGCTCTCACACAGGCGAGAAACCTTACAAGTGTGAGCTGTGCTCCTTCCGCTGCAGCGATCGCAGCAACCTTTCTCATCACCGGCGTCGCAGACACAAACTCCTCCCCATGAAGGGGGCCCGCTCCGCTCTCTCTCACCGAAAGATGCTCAGTGTCCTGCAGAAGAGAGGAAACTCACTTGGTTATGGCCGCCGGCTGCTCATCAACCTCAGCCCGCCATCCATGGTATTGCAAAAGCCCAGCTCAGAGCAGCATCACTTGGGTGACTTCTCCCATGATCTCCCTCCTCACGGCCACCTCCATCAGGTGGCCTATAACGGTCTAGGAAAGGATGCACAAGCTGGTGGAGCGATTGGAAGTGGCTCCAGAGAGGAGCAAGACATGGTATTGGACAACCCGCTGAACCAGCTTTCGACTTTGGCCGGTCAGCTTGCCAGCATCCCGCCGGAAGCCCAAGGTGCACCGGTATCTCCTGGAGCAGAATCTCTACCTGACGAAAAACCCACGTTCCTCGTCCAGCAGCCTGTGACAGCACCTGCTGCCATCTCTGTTAGTGCGGCTCAAGCTTCTTCTCCCATCACCCCCGAGCCCAGACCGGCTGCACACAGCAGCTGTAGCCCAGGAGTTGGACCCTGCAGTGAGAGAACCAGCACTCCGAGCGGTACCAACAGCCAGCCAGGGACGCCCACCCCAATACAGGACCCCCAGATGCTCCACCACTGCCCCCACTGTCACATATATTTCCCTGACAACATCCTCTACACCATCCACATGGGCTGCCATGGTTATGAGAACCCTTTCCAGTGTAACATATGCGGACACAGGTGCAGAAACAGCTATGATTTTGCATGTCACTTTGCAAGAGGCCAGCACAAATAAGGACACGTGGGGGATGCTGGCCTCTTCTTTGCCCTGTTTTACATAATACAATTCTAGTATCTGGAACATTCCAAAGACAAAATCCCTGCTTTGTAATTATTGAACTTTCATCGTTATGTTATGCTGAAGTCAGTAATCCACATTCAGAGTGTAGATTTTTTGGTCTTTGAAAAGGTTCGAATGCTAATGGTACCCTCGCATCAAAAACTATCATCCCTGATTATTCCAGTTCGAGATCTTGAGAATTTTCTTTTTAAGATTTTGCCTCAACTCTCTTGTATAAGTGCCAGAGTTCAGTAATCAGTGCCTACAGTTATTTTCTGAAAGTTGACACTTACAATTTTTTATTATTTTTATTTTTTACATTTCAAATTCAGTGACATGAATGAAAGTAAGAGTTATGGCTATTCTTACACTTTGGATTTAAATGTAGTATAATGACATTGCCACATTTAATATTTTTGTCTTCTAATTTAAAATGATCGCAAATTATTACTTGTTTTTTGGTTGAGAGAGCTGCATTATTTAAACCTAACTTAAATCAGCAACATTGTGATTGAAGATGAAAATTTCTAGCACAGGTAAGTTGACTGTTTAGCACTGAGAAATAGTGTCCTGTAGGATTGTTTTCCAAATTTACTGTAGTGGTCTGAGGTCTTCTCTTTAATTCAAAAGGGTTTAGCACCATCACACATGGCTGTATACACTGGGTTTGTAAAGCAGTGTTGATGATTGTGTTCTGGGCAGTGTGAGCACACTGTTCTCTCTCTTTCATTTTCTCTCCCTCATCGCTACCACCAGTGCCATGCTGTAGATGTTATTCGTAATGTTTTTGGAAGCGTCTGTGGTGCTACTATTTAAACATTTCATATGCCTGTCTGCATAATTAACTGAATTATCAGATAAGTATTGTACAACATGTTTTGGTGGATTTGATGTTGAATGTCAATAAAACCTGACTTATGCGATGTGTACTGAAATGTTATGTTTGTCTTGTCATTTAATTCTCAAAACCGAAAAGGTTATCTATAGGTTATACCGGTAGCTATAAGGTATAAGGAAATTATTATACCAATCATTTTCTAATGTAATGCAAAATGCTTTGTTGATTTATAGTAATATATCATTTGGACTATTTATAAGTGACTTGCTTGGTTAAATAAAAGCAAAATAAAAATATCTTTATACTGTGCTTTGACAAAGTGCATTTGGAGAAGGATTGCTTTAATGAATTCAGGAAAAATACATCATTAGGATAGATAATGATCTGATTAATGATACAAATCAGAAATACTAATAGAAATAGAATACTAATAATTCAAACTTGAACAGCTAGAGATGCCACAGTAAATTATACCAATATGTACAAACATGCTTTTAATAAGATTAAAATGTTATATGCAAAGTGTAGATACTAGTTAATACATTTTATAAAAACCAATCAATACTGTCATGTATTATGAATTTCACAAAAAAATTATAATAATAATAATTAAAAGTATGCGTGACCTCTGCTGTATGGAAGCAGATTAGACTCAATAATTCACGAAAAATAATTCACGCATATCCCAATTCACATGCATGAAACCCAATTCACGTGCACGAAAAATATATATATTCACAAAAACCAATTAATGTGCACAAAATAAGAATATACATTCATAAAATACATTCCACAAATGCAAAACAATTCACAGATGTACAACTGTATACAACATTTCTGAATATTTAAAATTCACGAGTTCGTCATGGACTGTGAATCGCCTTGGATCTGTATGTGTATGTTTGAGAATTTCCTGGCAGGGAACTCTATGCACGTGGGACACTCGTACTCTTTAGCCAATCAGATTTGAGCATGTCGATCGACCAATCATAACACGCTGTGGGCGTGTCTACCTGGATGTTACATCATCAGCGCCAGACCTCAGTCACGGTACTCCAAAGATGGCTGCACTTGTTTCTCTGACGCATAAGGTCTATAGTCATGGCTGAGGGCGTTAGGGTGTTGTTATGCACGACACAAAGCCATATAACACAGCCTCTAGTACTTTATTGCTTAATTAAAATATTATTTGTAATAAGAAGTTTTAAGATAAAGTTAAATGCATAGCTGACCCAAAAATTCTATCTTTATTTACTCATGTTGTTTACCAGAATCCTCCTTTTGTGCTTCACGGAAAAAGTATATAGGTTTGGAACAACATGAAGGTGAGTAAATCATTGCTTTAAATCTGTGTGACTTAGAGAGACCTCTGACCTTTGAGTTTGATTGGCCCCAGCGTCACAGTATTGGTGTGGTAGGTGCTGTGAAGGGCTATCTTGCGATGGAAGCGACAACCTTGCCGGCAGCGAGAATTATAATCGTTATCGGGGCAGATGATTACCTTACACTGCGGAGTCCGGAGGAACTTGGAAGCCCGGAAACTGAACTGAGCGTAGTAGTATTCACCACTGGTGTAGGAATAATATGTGTTGTCTTTTGGACATCTACAAAAGACAAAAGAAGAGAAATACAATTTGGATACAATTTAAACTACAGTCAAACTATTAATGCTAATGAGTACAATAACATATTTAGACTAGGAACAACAGAATTCTTATTAATGCGGTCTACGATCCCAAATTATTCTACTGTCACATATGATATGATGTTGGAGTCACATTTAAGAATGAAAAGGTCTCACCCGTTACGGAGCAGGTCATAGGAGCGATCTTTGAAGTCATTGGGATTTGGAGACGCTACACAAGTGTCCAGGAAGAGATCCAGACTGTTGTCATGCCTGTTTAGCTCGACCTGAACATACAGAAGCTGATTCAAGTTCACCTCATATGGAGAGTCGTAAATTTGTTGGTAGAAACTGCTGAAGGTGTAGAAAGCTATGCTGGCATTGAAGCGGCCCGTTCCTGTGATGTTGGCATTGATGTTCTCCCTGGCCTTGTAGAATATCTGCACCATGGTGTCCGGCTCCATTCGGCAGCCCACGTGTAGCAGGAACTGTGACTGACGAGTGATTTCACTCGACTGAGACTGAGAGGCCCGCACATTGTTGGTGTAGGACACATAACCATTCATCATCTAGTAGGAAAAAACAGAGAGCAGGTGACGTTATGTGGTAGCATGTCTCCCACTGATGCACAAATTTACTGTGTATTACTAATCTCACATAGCATTAAATGCTGACAAGAAGCTATTAAGAGTAATTTTCAGTATTGGCACTTGACTGGAGCCATGCTGGATCTGGCACGTGTAGGTCGTCTTTAGTGCCACTTAAATTCAACTAATTGGTCACAGCACTTGTTGTATCTGGCCAGTGAGTAGTCGTCGCTGTTGTTGTTATTGCGCGGTAGCCTGAAACAAGAAAAAATAAAACTAAAGAAAAAGAGTAGTGCTACAATTCTCCATTGATTCGGCAAAATCCATTTCATTACTAATACAATGACCCGTGTGTACTCTACATAAATATATGTATTTTTAGATTTGTATTTTTGTTTATAGTATTTTACTTCAAATTGTCTGTCTAAAAAAAGAGGAGCTCACTGTCGTAGTCAGGGCAACAGCTGCCATAGTAATGACAGTCATAGTTGCATGAGCAGCTGCCGAAGTCCTGTCCACAGTTATACATGCAGGAGTAGGGTTGGGAATCTAAAGTCGATTCTGATTCCAGAATCGGATACTTGTTGTCAAATTAAAATTTCGATTCCGCCTATCGATTCCTATGCGCTTTTTTTTTCTTCTTCATCTGTGAGGACCGGACCTAGCGATCTGTCAGGACCTTGCTTGCTCTAATCTAAGCTCTCCAAAGTTTGGCTACATTTGCGATCAGAAGCCAAAAAAGCTAAGTATAATATCTGTGATATCTAAGCATGTTGCAAGAGAGGTGTCACCACTGGTAATGCAAAGTCCGATTAATTTCCGCGAACCGGTACTTTTCAGACAGATTGGCTCATTGAACCGGTTCAAAAAGCCGATTCATCGGTTCCTGACGTCATCAAGCAATAACGTCTCTACCACTGATCTATATATAAAGAGACATAGGATAAATGTTTGCTATCATTATTTAATCACATTGGAATTGAAACTGGGAATCGAAAAGAATCGGAATCGATAAGCAGAATCGGAATCGGAATTGATAAAATTCAAACGATACCCAACCCTATGCAGGAGGGAGCTAGCAGAGAGGAACAGATTTTACTCATGATGTCAGCAGTGTATGTTTTATGTACACATTATTGGGTCACTTGATTGATTAGTGTACACATTTAGTTAGAGGGCTAATTACTGCCTTTACAAAATGTTGTTTAATTTTATTAGTGTCACGTAAAGTGGTCATGAACTTTGACATATAAGAGGTCATTGTACTATAAAAACATGCTGCAAGTTTCAAAACCTAAAACGTTCTTGTTAGTCTAAAAACAGCTTATATTGAAGCCAATCTGCTAAAATGACAGCTTGTGGAATGTACGATTCTATGATGTAATAGTGTGGATAAGCACCACCGTCTATACAAAAATCAGACTATAAACATGGCTCTGATTCTGAAGACAACAGGATGCTGTGCAGTGCCAAGTTGTGGAAAACACTGTCTTTGCATTGCCTTCCTTCTGATCCTAACAATATGAAAGAGTGGATGAAGTTTATTTTTAATGAAGATCCAGACCACATTAGTAAGAACTTGGTCCTTTGTTACTTTATTTTACCGCAGATTTGTTTACAAACAAGGCACAATTCGATGCGGGATTTTCATAAAGATTGAAACTAAAAGATGATGCTGTGCCGACTATATTGAATCCAACAGTAATGTTGGAACACACAAGTGTAAGTGACAGTTTTTATTACGTGGCCACTATTGTTTTGTCTGTTATTACAGATCGTTTGATATGAGTATTTATGAGTATTTAACCTAAATCACTGCAGTGTCCATTTGCGAAGGATGTAGGCTAGGCTATCAAACATACGCAACTCTTAGCCAATCATAGCAGTGGGCGTTTACTTTGTAGTCTACAATCTGCCACGCCTAAACAGAGCGCGCGTTAAATATCGCATGCGATTAATCGTGCAGCCCTAGTATTTAACCTAAATCACTGCAGAGTCCATTTGCGAAGGATGTAGGCTAGGCTATCAAACATACGCAACTTTTAGCCAATCATAGCAGTGGGCGTTTACTTTGTAGTCTACAATCTGCCACGCCTAAACAGAGCGTCCAGATGAGGGGGGTCAAAACATGACAGAACATATATAATTACTTCTAAATTACAATGTTTTTTGATGTACAAATCTAAATAACATTATAAGTGGACCTCAGAGAACAGTAAAAAATGAAAAAAAGGCAGTTCTTTTAAATTCAACTCACAGAATGCAAGTGTATCTGTCCAGTAAGTTGTTGCTGTTGTTGTTGTCGTTGTTGTTGAACAGTAGTCTGTAAAGAGAAGAGATAAAACGGAGGTAATGGCACAATTCTCCACTGATTCAGCAAAACCCATTTCATCACAAGAAATGTAATGACCCATGTGCTCACTACATGAAAGATTTGTATTTTTGTTTATATTGTATTTAAAATGGTCTGTCTAAACAAGAGGAACTCACAGTCGTAATCATCGCAACAGCTGCCATAGTAGTGACAGTCGTAGGTGCATGAGCAGATGCCAAAGTCATGTCCACAGTTATACATGCAAGAGGGAGCTAGCAGAGAGGAACAGATTGTACTCATGATGTCATCAGTGTATGTTTAATGTGCACATCATTGGGTCACTTGATTGATTAGTTTACATATTTAGTTAGAAGAGCAAAGCTGGACTAATTGCTGCCTTTACAAAGGTTAAGTTCATTAGTGTCACTTAAATTCATCTCACAGAATTCAGGAGTAGTTGTTGCTGTTGTTGTTGTTGGTGGTGGTGTTGTTGTTGTTGTTGGTGGTGTTGTTGTTGATGTTGATGAGCAGTAGTCTGTGTAAAGAGAAGAGATAAAACGGAGGTAATGGCACAATTCTCCATTGATTCAGCAAAACCCATTTCATCACAAGAAATGTAATGACCCATATGTGTATTTTTGTTTGTATTGGATTTAAAATTGTCTGTCTGATCAAGAGGAACTCACTGTCATAGTCAGGGCAACAGATGCCATAGTAATGACAGTCGTAGGTGCAGGAGCAGATGCCGAAGTCGTGTCTGCAGTTATACATGCAGGAGGAGAAATCTAGATTTTTTCAATGTATGCTTCAGACACGGGTCACGACGAGGCGTTCCCCATAGCGACCCCTAGAGGACGCAGTTCGAAGTTCCCATGAAAGGGAACACATTATCTATGAGGCCATTAATACATATACGACTGCAAAAACCATCAATATGTGTGTGATGTATGACATCAAGGAACATCGGTCCCCTTCAACATTCAGGAAACAAGGGAAAGGTTCGAATCAGAAAGACAGACAGATAAGATGTAAGTGAACCTGTTGTAGTTGGCCAAGTTGTCGTCAGTGAGCAGTAACCTGGATAAAGGGAGGAGATAGAAAAATATTGTTATCTTGTATTGTAAATTTAAAGCTACATACATGAACAAAAGAAAATTATTTTAATTACTTTAAAATAGGGAGATTTTGTGTATAATGATTGATCTTGAAGTGTTTGATCAAGAGGATCTCACTTTTGTAGTCATAGCAACAGTTTCTGTTGTTCTGACAGGAGTCGTCACATGAACAAGTGCCAAGGGAGTATCCACAGTTATTCCTGCATGATTTGGAATCTAACAAACAGAGAAATAGATTTTACACATTATTATAAGTAATGGGGATCACAGTAATCTCCATCCCTGGTTCCAGACTGTTCCTCTTAAGAATTCTGCTTTCTCAATTGTTATATTAAAGATTTTTTAGTATTTCTTGAGGAAATATTAGAAAAAGAGAAATGCAATTCCATTTCCAAGTGACGAGTTAACATTGAAAAATGCATTTAAAAAAATTCTCGCAAAAGGTGGCTTTACAAAAACTTTTAAAAATACTACTGACAATATTCATGTGTATCTTTAAGCATTGCAGTGTTGGGTGTAATGCATTACTAAGTAATGACTTACTGTAATTAATTTCCAGTGAAAAAGTAATGTAAGGGATTACTCTTCATTTTTCTCTAATTACAGTTACTTCTGTAATTCTATATAAAACAATAGTGCATTAAATATCGAAATGTATCATCTAATGTTAAAATGTATGCTTATAATGTTACCTCCCTTTAAATGCTTCGGTCAATTCAAGAATAATTCAATTTTACATAATTTATTTGAAAGAATTAAAAGAGTAGTTTCATGTCTATCCTTATATTGTTCAACTGGTCGAGGTTGATATGGGATTTAGAAAGTAATAAGTAATACAATACTTTTTAGAGAGAGTAATTAATAACAATAATCTTTTTACACTGTTGAAGATTTAACCCAGCACTGGGTTGTATTTAACCCAGCATTTTTTAGAGTGTAATAGCTAGTAATTAATAACTTTTTTTAGAGTAACTTACCCAACACTGAAACGTTGTATATAAACTAGTCAGTAACTACACTGTTTTATGCCTTAAATAAAAGATAAGGTGTGTTTCTGATACAATAAAAGAAGTGTTTCATTGGAGTCTTGCATTTGGGAATCTGTCTACACAGGCTGTGCTGTGTATTTTTGATTCACAAAAAAGAAGTGGCTCACAAAAATAATTCGTTTAGGAATCAGACTACCTGGGTTGTACTGAATATTTTTGATTCAATTAAAAGAGGCGGGTCATAAAAGTGGTTGATTTGGGAATCTGATTACACTGGTTAAGCCGTGTGTCTTTGATTCTCTAAAAAAAGAATGGGCTCATAAGAGGATGGGATAAATGCAGAGCACTAATTCCGAGTATGGGTCACCATACTTGGCCACATGTCATGTCACTTCACTTTAGGTAAATGAACTGAAATGGTCACTGAATGCATGTGCAAAAAGCATTGCCAGGATTGAACATTCAATCCAGAATTATTTTAAGAAATTAAATTCATTCTGATCATTTCATTTAATTGCTTACCTACAAAGAACCAGTTTGCATGAAATCCTCTTCTTGATACAC